CCTGTTGCAACTTGTAACCATTACGTGATTTGTTCACTACAGCGAGGTCTATATTTTCTCTATGTTTTTTTTTTGCAATGAGTACCTTATAACAAAGACTAAACATCTTGCTTCTCAAAAAGTCAATTAATCTTCAATTTAACCAGTATATGGAAAAGTACTAATATTATATATAATAAGTATCGAATGTATCTATCTATTTCTACAATAAACTTCTATAAAGATGTAAATGCTGATAGTTAAATTTGAAATTGTTTAATTTCTACTATATTCTATATAAAACAATATTTTCATTCCACGATGTCAGAGCCTGAAATTCAGAGGAACAACGAGGGCAAGAGCGTAACCTGCGCACACCCATATAATCGAGCCGCCCCCATGCCGATCACACGGATGAGTCACACGGCCGCGTGCGGGCCCCGCTCAACAAAGGCGGGCGGTGCCAGACACCGGGCCCACCGCGAACGCGTCGGGCACGGCATCCGCAGCCGGCCGTCCCTTCGCATCCGACGGCTCCCCTCCCCGCCACGCACAACCAAAAAGATCTCCCTCGCATGTCGCAGCCCGACGAACCGAGCCAAAGAAAAAAAAATCGATTTCCTTTTTTCATCGTCTCATCACCATGAACGAAATTAAAAAAAGGACAAATTCTGGCCAAGCACGCAACGCAACCCCCCTCGCCAGCTCCGGTCCATATAACCCGCTCCACCGCGACGCGTTCGTCTCGTCTCGCGTTTGCTTTCTCCATCTCTGTCCCCCTCCGCCCCCGTTCCTCTGTTCCCCTCCCTCTTACGCTAGGGTTAGCCAGGCAGCAGCCCTCCTCGCGAATCTTCCGTAGCGACCCCGACCCGGCGGCCATGGCCACGGCGGTTCTCAGATCCCATGACGCGCTCAACAACAGGATGCATCTCGACGCGTACACCCCGTCCCCGGCGAAGCCGCGCCGGCGCCGGAGCCCCAAGCCGGCGGCCGCGTCCTCGCCGCCCGCTAGGTCCGCAGCGCCCATAGCCTCGCCGCCGCTGAAGCCTGCGGCGGTGCAGAAGACCGCGACGCTCGCTAAGGGGCCCGCGGCGCCTGGCCGCCGATCGCCGCCGGCCAGGCCGGCTGCTTCCCGGAAGCAGCCGTCCCCCACCAAGGAGAAGCCCAAGCAGCGGCTTGTCATGGAGGAGGTCCGGATCCTCAAGCGCGGCGAGGAGCCGCCCGCCCCCGCTCCCGCGCCGGTGGTACCATCGCCCACCGTGGCGCAAGCCGCGCCGGCGGCAGCGGTTCGCGTTCTCTGCTCCACTGGCCGGTTCGGGCCGCAGGCGCCCGCCGTGGTGCCGATGAAGAAGATGGTGGCTGCCCCCGCTGCCGCCGCAGCCAACGCGGCCGTCTACGCGGGCCCGGCGTTTTCTGCCGCGGCGCCCGAGCCGAGCTCACTCCCCATGCCCGCCTTCTTCCTACGGCACGCGGAGTCCGAGGCCACCCGGGGCCTCCGTTGCCTCCTCCGCATCGGCGAGCTCGCCTGACACGGCTGACGTCTCTCAACCAGCCTGTCTACTCCTCCGTTCACCCTTCGGCTTCGTCTCTTCTCCTCTTCCTCCTCGTCTCCGGTGGTTCCTTGATCTATGGATGGTTGGCGCCTGATGGGCGGTTGTTGGATCCGATGGAAAGCTAGCTTCTCCGGATCGGATCAGATCACATCTCCCGGTAACCGTTCCGATCAACCTCTTCCGGTATTTTTTCAGAGGAAAGGTTGGCCAACGGGCTTCCGGTGGTTGGATTTGGTGGACTTCGGTTAGGTTCACATATCGCTTGCAGTTCGGTTCGCTTCAATGGAAAGCTGATGTCTTTAGGTTAGAAGAAAGAATAACTACGAGTAAGAAGGAAGGATGGCTGCTAGATTGGGTAGCTAGCTGTTGGCTGCTTGGTTCTACAGTAGCTTGGAGCTTGGTTCTAGGTGTTGTAGTGGTGGTGGTGGTGGTGTTTGGTTCAGGAGTTGGGATTAAATTAGCGTCTGAAATAGTTGTTTGGTTTAGGTGATCTTATAGACGACCTGATTATGATTCAGGGTAGTTTATCGTTGCAATAATCTAAGGTCTGGTGTGCGTTTGATCTGTGTGAGTTCTGAGTTAGGTGAGTCATGAACTATGTGATGTTTAGTAGGTCAGGTGAAGTTCTTCTCTTATGTAAGATGTCAAGTTTGTATCTATCAGCTTAGCTGTGATATATGAGTGGTAAATTTATATATATGAGTGGTAAATTTAGGTATGAAAATTCTGTGTTGGTGCCTCTTGATCAGGAATGGTTAACATCTCTATCTCTATCTGCCTCTCTTGCTTGAAGCTGGAGAGATGTCTTACTTCTAGATTACTGTTTCGGACTTCAACAAGAGTTTGCGTGGATTGAACTTAAAACCTTCTAATTTACTGTTTCAGACTTTAAGCTAACACAAGACTGCGTGGATTGAACTTCAATCGGCGAGCTTTGTGCCGCGGTAATCGCTCTGTCAAAGACTTTAACCAGTGCATGCAACAGTCTTAGATGAGCTTTTATATATATCTCGTCAGAAATCAGAAAACAAAAAACCAAGACTTTAACCCAAGATATTGGGCAAACTCTGCACGTTCTGATGCCCAATCAAGCATTTCTTCTCTGAACTTATGATGTTCGAGGCCAGAACCTTACTGGAATGGCACGAACACATACAGCTTCGTCGACGGTTCGGGCTCTATACGTGATGACCACCGGCAGCAAACCTAAAACTGGTTGCGTGCAGGTTGAAGTATTCTTCTTTGGAGCGGTTGAACGTGCGTACTCCTCCTTTCCACTACTCTGACCTTCCAGTTGTTGACCCACCGCTGAAGCTTTCGCCGGCTCGCCCGTGCTCTGCTGAGTCAATTTGACTCCGTATGCTGGACGCTGCAGGATGACTGAAGAAGAAGAAGTAACCCTCGGAGCTTTCCATCTTCTTTCGCCAGCAAGCGGGAGACTGTCGACCCCATACGGCGTTGTACGTGTCGTTACCTGCGATCGTTCGGCCACCTGATCGGCGGATGCCGTTGCCACTCTTCTGGTCGCTGGGAGACTGGGACAAAGGGGCCTTGCGACTACGAGCAAATGAATGGAACCAAAACCATCTTGTTTGGCAGCCGGCCGACCTCTTGTTAGGTCGGTTGGGTGCGCTGAGCTGGTGCTGAGCAAGAATCAATCGTCCCGAGTTTGTTTTCGAAAGCGATATATATACGAGTATACTCCTATATGTCAGTGGAAACGAACAGCTAATTCGTTACTCCAACCAATTGACATTCGTCAACCCAACATCTCGTGCGTCGTCAGTGACCAACTAACGGGAGTTCACGGAACTTTTAACATCGTGAACCACTGAAAATTCTTCAATGGCGTCGATTTTACAATGTCTCAAAATACAGACAAGTACCTAGAGTCTAGCACCTTATTCGCTTGGGTTTGTTTGGCTTTATAAGCGATCTTTTTGAAGACAACAACAGTATTTTTTCACCAAATCTGCCAACAACCGATCTTTCGGTATAACTTATTAAAAACAAGCCCAATCGTCATGCAATTCCAACATGATCAAGACAACAGGTTTTACTCCCAAGCAAGAACGATAAAAGGAGAACCACGTCATGGAAGCATTTCTGCATATACTTATTCAAGACACACTACCATTTGGGTGATTCACTGATTGGGCAACAGATACGTCTTGACCACAAGGTTAACAGCGTGAAGAGTTTACTAACTAGAGTACTGTATTATCATAGTCCATCTTGCACCTCGGTAACTTTGTTTACAGTTAAAAATGCAGTCTTTGATGTACTCAAGCAAAGAGCACTGCAACCTACGGTCCACGGATCAGTGAGAGCATCTATTTAGGTCAAAAGTTGACCCAAAGCAACACAGTGATCCCAAGAACTGAGAAAGCAATCTCCTGCCTCATAATTAAGCCAAATTTCACCATTTAATGAGAATTCATGATCAAGGGGGAAAAAACATCATTGACAGCCCACTACACGTTTGTTATTGGACTTGAGGGCCCTTATTTTACAATCTTTGCAAACAAGTTGCTGTGGCAGGACTGCAATCACCTCTGCATTTTGGATTTAGCAACCTGACAAGCTGACACATGGGAGGATTCTTAAAGGAAACAGCCAGATACATCAATTCTGTGCTCCATTAGCAAAGCAATGCAGAATCTAGAACGCTAGATCATTACTAATATATCTAAGGAACAAAACAAAACAAACTAGACAAATCTAGATTACAACAGGATACAGCAGCAGACACCATTAAGGCCGTGAAATCGAAGAACTGGTGGGTTATTGTCCGGTTTGGTTTGAAGCTGAGGGCATTAGACAAATTACTGACCAGGAAACAGTTGGTTGACAACATTTATACATAAGCACTACGAATTATTGTTTGTAGTGATTAAAGGGTTTAGAAAAGAACAGAAAAAGGGAAGATAAAAGCACGGTTACTTTGGTCACAACTACTAATGTTGTGCTGGCTCTGAAATTGTTGGGTGATCTTATATACAGGTAATAAGTTGCATGAAAAACCAGTACGGTGATACTTCACTCAGCACATACATATTCATGATGACAAAGTAATGAGCAGATTAAATAAACTTGAGCAAAATAAACCATAGGTTAACAGAAGGATCTATTAGCAGGCAGCGATAACTGGATCTAACATTCAGGGGAAATGTCAATAAACATAAATTGAAGCAGATATGGTACTAAGCGTACATATTGAGATATAGTAATGGGAGTCTAAACAACTATAGTAACGCCACATGTGAATAAAGCAATTCAATCTATTACATCGTACAAGCTGCTAACACCTCTCCATAAATCCATTGATGAATCCTAGCCCTTACAATAGTTATTCAGGCTCTTGTATACCAAAAGATGACATGAACAAACATTTGTGACTACAAACTTTTCAGTGTCCATTCTGCTCACCTCTCACTTGACTGATTTGAATCCTCAGCAGGAAGAAACCTAATCTGCTTTCACCGACGCGAAAAGATAGTGAACAAAGCAGAATGATGAAATAAACCCAACTGTGCCAGTTGCTAGCATGATAGCAATCACCATGAAGAGCGAGTATCCGATATAGAGGGTCGCAGACACTGGTCCACTCAGGCTTTTGAGGTCAAAAACGAGATAGTTGATGGAGTACAAGAAAATGTAGATTGCCACCGATCCAGATGAGAAGAATGACTTCCACCACCACTTCCAATCCTCGACGCACAGGTGCATGTAAGTCAGAACCAGGGAAACCTCAGCACAGACAATAACCAGGAGCAGCAAGACGATGAAGAGGAACCCAAAAACATAGTACACACGGCCCATCCATATGCTTGACATGAGGAAGAAGAGCTCGATGAATAGGGTGCCGAAGGGCAGTGTGCCAGCACCAAGAACCAACAGCCAGGATGGGTACTTCTGAGGAGGAATTTCACGAGGGATCTGGTTCGTGCGGACAGGGTACTCAATATGTGGCGCCTTGGCACCAAGGAACCCACCAACAAGCGTGAGCGGCACGGAGATGCAAAACCAGAGCAGAAGCAGCACAACAAACAATGAAAAGGGGATGGCGCCAGTGCTGTGGCTTCCCCACAACAGGAAGTTGAGTGTGGTCAGGATCAGGAACGCAATGCCAGGGAAGAAGCAAGCCACTCGCCATGAAACACCGACCCACCCAGAGTGATCCCCACACTTGATCGTCTTCCATACTCGAACACCAACGTATCCAGCCAATATTCCAAGGACCAGATAGAAGAACAGCATGCCGGTGATCAGAGTACCACGGGAGGCTGGGGACATGAACCCAAGCGCAGCAAACAGAATGGTCACGACCGCCATCCCAAGGATCTGAACACCGTCCCCAACCATGACACAGAGCAGCATCGGGTTGCTTGGAGCACGGAACACATCACTGACCACAAGCTTCCACCCAGACAGCTCCTCATTCATCTGGGCCTGCGCCTCACTGTGAAGCTCCTCATACTTGGTGAGATCACGCCTCACGGTCCTCAGCAGAATGACAAACACAATACCAGCAAGGAAGGCAATCACCATGAGGGAGTTGAGAATGGAGAACCAGTGCACCTTGGCCCCCTCCATCTTGAGGTAGGCATCCCACCTGGAGGGCCACTTGATATCGCTCTCCACGAAGTTCACCTCGTAGGTGTAGACAATGGGCTCGTTCTCCTTGATGCTCATGGACACAGTAGTCGGGTCGCACTTGATCTTGTTGGGGTACTGGTCGTACATCTTGCGCGACTTGACGTCCTCCGGGTTGTGCTTGATGCTGCAGGGCACGACCTCGAATCCGACCACCATCCAGCCAGGGGGAGGAGGCGGCGTCCTTGGTCCCGGACGGGATGGCGTCGGTGGCGTCTGCGGCGCCCATGGCGCGCACGACATTGGCGTCCTCGTACTTGTGGACGAGGACGGTGAACTGGAGGTGGTTGAAGACGTAGTAGTCGACGCCGACGCGGATCCCGACGGGGTACCCCGTCCAGCGCATGAGGTAGTCGTCCTTCCTGGTGTAGCGGATGGCGGGGAGGTTGTCGAGGATGAGGTTGACCTGGTACATCTCGTCGATGCGCTTCTTGAGGAGCGCGAAGGCGTCGGGGCCTAGCGGCGGGGAGCGGCAGAGGAAGACGTCGGACTCGTTGGTGTACATGCGGAAGCGGTAGGGCGAGTTCTCGATGCGGTCGCCCATAAGGAGCTCGCCGAGGTTCTCGGCGCTGTCCTTGACCCCCTCTTGCGGCTCGCAGAAGGGGAGGCTGTAGTAGCTGAAGGGCATCTCGGTGTCGATGGAGGTGAGCGAGTTCACCTTCACGTTGAGGTAGTTGCCGGGGTTGTACTTGTGCGGGTAGCTCCCCGGGAGGTAGAACCCGCGGGCGCCTGGCAGCGCCGCCGCGAGCAGCGCGGCCGCCGCGACGGCGAGGAGGAGGAGCGCGCGGGGGCGGGCCATGGATCTGGATCGGTGGGGGCGGGCGGATTGGGCCCCGCGGCAGTAGGGTCTGGGGTGGGTGGGCGGGTCGGTTGTGGGGCTCGGCCCTGCTCCGGCGAGGAGCTCGCCGGAGGAAGGCGAGGAGGGGGTGTCGGTGGCGGCGGAGCAGATCTGGTGGGGGGCGGGGCGGGTGGGGACGAAATGACACGGGGGAGGAAGCGGGGGGCGGTGGTGTGGTTTATACGGCGTTCATCGCATCGCTGTTGCTTGAGGACTCTGGGAGGGAGGGAAGCAACGGGGACGATTTTTGGCGTGTGGAAGCTTCTTCCACCGTGAATTCCCCGCGTTGCCCATCTGCTAGAATTTTTTTTAATTTTAACACTTTTTTAAAAATTAATTTTAAATCTAACACTCTCCGTTTTTTTTTAAACTAACACTTTTGACCGCGTCTATTGTCATGGCGCGGTCAAATGTCTGTGCCGCACCATGCATGATGACGCGGCAGGGAGCTGACGTGGCAACGACCGGTATCGCTGACCGGTGACGTGGTATGGCATGCTGCGGGCCGCGTCACCATGCATGACGTAAGGAGCATGATGCGACGGTACCTGGACGGTTTAATAGGAACTTTCCACGCCGATAGTGGGAGTTAAGGTCTGTTTAGATTCCAAAAAATTTTGCGCAGTACCCATCACATCGAATCTTATGGCATATGCATGGAGTACTAAATGTAGACGAAAAAAAACTAATTGCACAGTTGGGTGAGAAATCGCGAGACAAAACTTTCGAACCTAATTAATCCATAATTAGATACTAATTGCCAAATACAAACAAACGAGCTACAGTACCCAAAACCAATTTTTTTTTGGCATCTAAACACGGCCTTACTCTAGGTATTACTTGACGTAAAACCAATAGTGGATTTGTTTCTGCCTTTTGTTTAATCTTTTTTCACGGTCGAATAGAGAATTTGATAAGCTAATGATTTTTTTTCATAATACGGTTAACCACCATGTTATCTAATCGACTACGAAAAATTAGATCGGATTGAAACGAATATTTTTTAAGGGAAAAAACTTATTTTTTTGGCCCCATATTGTAGGATCGGTAGCGACGCGACCATGGACCCTGGCGTCGAGATACTCCGGGACTGCCGGTTTTCGAACTAGTTGCTACTTAATCTCGCCTGCAGTGATGCCGCGACGCATTGAAACGAATATGAAGCAAATAAATGAAGTCCGTGCACAAGTTGACAAGCTGACACGTAACATTTTCATTAGTTTAACATAAATTCGACATAACATAACCAATTAAAGGCTGTAAGTTTCGGACGCCAATATTAGTTCGACTTAACAAACTAAGACCCAGGAGTGTAAGGATCCCTCGGATGCCTCTCTCTTCGGATTTATTGGCAACACATTGGGAGTGTAGCCAACGTCGGTGTGGTCGCGTCGCCGTTGCGTACGGCTCGTACCCTACAAGTATATGATATGCACGAATACTTATAATTCTTTATGATCGTTAGTTCATGTAACCTACGTATTTAAAAAAACTACCTTTGTTAGTACCTGTGAGGCTTTTTGGGTACCAAGCGGGGCACCACCTAGCTGAGACATGCCGATCTCGTCCTGCGGCCAATCGTCCCACTGGTCGTGCTGTCTGTGGAAGCCCGGGGGGTCGTCGTCGTCATCGTCGTCCTCGGTTGCAGGGTCCTTCCCAGCGCTATTGGGTACAACGGGTGCTGCGTGGGAGGGACCATCCTATTTCAAATTGATAAACAAAGGGTTAGAGTATTCAAATTAATAAAATTCAAATTAATATTATATAGCATTGCGAATTTTGAACTACTTGTTATGCAATACGAACACAATATGAAAGCACATGTATATATTCAAAGTAACATTAACAGACATATTAAACAACTTAACTAGGAATATAAGCATTTGACGAAACTTCATCAAGTTATCAAAATCGACGTATCACGCAATAGTAAGTACCGATATTTGAAAACTAGTATCTATACCAAAAATCCCTAACTAAATAACTAAATATAAACTATATAATAAATACTTAATCAATCCCTAAATCTAAAATCCTAACTATACCACAACATACAACTTCAAACCTAAACACTACATACCTAAATCACAAACAAATTCACAAACCTAGCTATACTAAATCACTAACTATCATAAATCAATAACAATCATAAAACCCTAATTATACTAAATCACTAACTATTCTATATCACTAATTATCCTAAATTAATAATAATCAAAATAAAATGAAATTAAGAGGGGTACCTTGATAGGAGCGGACGGCCTTGACGCTACCGACGTTTGTGGCGCTTGGACATGAAAGGCGGTAGGGCGGCGTGAAGCGCTGGCGTGCGCCGTCCGGGAGCTTCGTGGCGATATTTTAGGGAAGCGCTGATGGTGGCGGGCCATGTGGCGGGCAAGTGGGGGCTCGCTCGCGATATTTATATGTGCCTGACGCACCATGCTCCGTGGCGCGGCAGGCCCTGCCACATCAACCGTGACCCTTTTCCGGTCGTCGCCACGTCAACTCTCTGCCACGCCACCATGTATGGCGCGACACAAGCATTTGGCCGTGCCATGGCAATAGCGCGCCAAAAGTGTTAGTTAAAAAAAACATAGTGTTAGATTTAAAATTAGTTTTCAAAAAGTGTTAAAATTAAAAATAATTCCTCTGCTAGGGTTTTGCTGATGATACCATGAGGGCTTTCGGTCTTCGTGGAGGAGGAAACAGGGAAAGTTTCGTCTTTGATGATTGTTATTAAGGGTGTTTTTAATGACTAGCAAAAGTGTCAGTGCTTTGTAACGGGAGGAAAGTTATAGCATCATCTAAAGTTTTGATATCTATGCATTGTTTTCTCTTGAAAGCTATAGTTTTTCATTACATCACTATGGCCCCATTCGGTTTACCTTATAATCTGCACTATTTAGCTTGTTTTTTCAGCCGAAACAGTATTTTATCTCACAACAATTCAGTCAGAACAGTGTTTTTCAGCCAATTCAGCCAAGTTTAAGCAAGCCGAACGGGGCCTATATTTTTATTGCACTCGACGTTATGCACAAAAACGTATATATAAATAATTTTGACTCAATATTTTGTTCTACTCAAGTAATCAATTGTATCTATGCATAGCGCAGGCGAACACGTAGGGCCAGGGGCACCTTCCAATTATAGCATCAAAGAATCAACAAATATAACGGAGCATACTGCATACCGGTGAGTTTATATAGTGTATAAACACTTTATCGTGCAATTGTTGTTAAAGTTGAGACCAATAGCACATAATTAATCAACGAGGAAACATAATATCCTATCTTTTCTTTTCTATATTTTTCCTTTTTTTTTTTTTTTTCTTCCTCTTCCTTCTTATCCTTATATGCTAGCTCGGACTCAGAGTCACATAGCCTCATCCACTCGCACCTTGAGGCCTCCATCTTCATCCCCTAAGCCTTGTCAAGCGGCCATGGAGCCCTGACGAGTTGACAGTCACGCACTCCGGCGGCCACGGAGCCCCGACGTGACCACGCCTCGATAGCTCCACGCGATGGCGTCCCGGCAGCTTAGCAAGTCCATGCAACGGAGCTCTCGGCGGCTGCACGCCCCAACGACTTGGCAGCCTTGCTCGCTTCGTTGTCGCCTCTCTCCTCAATCTCGCCCTGCGTCGTCGCCATCGCACATCCTCGCCTCGGTCTCACTCACATCACCTTGTCATCAGGTTGCCCTCCGTTGCTTGACCTCGTCGCCGTCTCCATGCCTGGCGCCATCATCGTTCGGCCTCAGCATCTTTTCTGCCGCCTCGCCTACGCTTATATGGTGGTTTAATTTGTATTTTATTCAATTTCTCCTATTGGATTCATATTTATTTATTGAGTCGTTGTATTTCTCCTATTGGATCCGTATGGGGAGTTCATTACGCTGGAGGTGGGGACACAAACCAAGGAAATGAAATTTATTTATTGAAGAGTAGATCCAAACTGAATGAGGCTTTGAAAAGAGGATTACCGGACAAAACCAGAATCCGAATAGAGATCCGAGTTGGATGAAAAAAAATTATGGCAGAAATTTTGCCTCTTTATTATTAGGTATAGATATAGATGTGGCTTAAAGCACTGAATTGATTTTTTTCAATTATTAAATAGTGTAAAAGGTAAGAGATTAGCGTGGACCGAAGAGATAAGTTTCGTATATTTCATGATATATCTCTATCTCAGAGCACGATATCAAGGTTGCTTGTTGCAGCCTTTCCCCTCTATATTTTTTTAACTTAGAACTAGTGCTACCTTGTATGGCTGGATACGCCATTAGACCAACTGATTTTCATAATTTATCTGTTCTCTAAAATCACACATGTTTTTTAATACAATCATATGCAAGCAGGTGCGCATCTATAAACACGTACACATCATATCTCCATGAGCATATTCGAATGTTCGAGTTGGCGGATCTCGAGGTTGACAAAATTATCATTGGTGCCTCAGCATCGACGGGCACATCGTCTACTAATGAAAAGAATAACATCGTTAAATTCTGAAGTCTGGTTATCTACAGCTATAGATTTAAAACCCACTACAGTGAATGTAACTAGCTGAGCTACGCTTAGTTCCTTAAAACTATAAAACACACTGCAGTACCCTAGAGTCCCGAGAAAGGTTGGTGCGGTGCTCTCGCTCCAATCCAATTTTCAGATCTGGGGTGTCACTGTATTGACCGAGATCCAGACTAAAGTTTGGTCGACGGAGTCGGGTCAACCCTGCGAAGCCATGACTCCACGAGCTTACTGCTTGATCGCACCTAAGACAAGATTATTTTACCGCAGGGTTTAACATTTGTTAATAACAGACCCTCCCCTTTGGCTCTACTCGGCATCTGTCCATGTCCATAGGCCAGCCAGTGGCTGGTGAGTGCGTGCCAATTGGAACCGGCGGTGCTGGTTGCAAGGTAGCCGCCCTGCCCTATCTCTTCGCTCTGTGCTACTGCTCGGTGGG